ACCCGCTGGGAAAGCATCTTTTAATATGCGCCGTTGTCGTTTTGCAAATAGTCAGTGATGTGTTGAAAGTAGTGCTGTCAAACGATTAAGATATTTAATCGCGATCAAATTCAACTTAACTCAAATGTGTTTATGGAGCACTTTCAATCAGCCATCGCTGCACACAAAGTGCTGTACATGGAGCAACTAACATATACAAGAGTAAAGCAAAGCAATGTATAAATAATTTCAGAGGTAACTCAGAATTAGCCGTAATTAATCGCAGATTTTTATCTATCTCTCATCAACATGAAATCGTGGATCAGTTTTCTTTGTGCCACATTCAAATATATACTGAAACAACAATTTTGATTTTAAATTTTACATGAACATTTTTCACTTGGAGCAGTTATTCAAACTTGGAGCACATTTGGTTATTTTAGAGCAACGTAACATCCGCTGTGACGTGGTGCCGCATTAATCTCGCAATAAAAAAATTAATCGAGTTAAAATTGTTTTAAATTAATGCCGATAACGCGTTAAACTGACAGCACTAGTTCAAAGGCTTCCTGCCGTGATTCACCCATCCCCCCGCGATGCGTTCGAGTGTCCTCGTCGTCTCCTCGTGCTCACGATGTGTTCAAGTGGCCGAAGCCTGTCGTAGAGAGTTAAAAGGTTGGAAAGCGAGCAGGCGATCACGTTGTCGTGGAGGTTAAGACAACTTGAGTGAGCTTTACTTTTTCGCTTTCATCTTATGTGAGACAAGAGTTGAGCTTTTAGGCCCAGAAAAATAACACTTGACTTCATCAGAAGGTGGAGTGCCTTTTTGTTGTGGCTGCAGTGTAGTTATTTTTCTTTCCACGTTGTTTCAAGTCCAGATGAAGCTTGTGAAAAGCTCACAGTGTCGTTTTGATGGTCGTCCTGGGCAGACGAAACAGTATTCAAGCGTTTTGCTTTCATGGAAGTCACGTCGCCGGTTCTGGCCCGCGTGTTGTGGACTGAAACAATACTACATTCTTGCGCAGTCTGATGTTGGGCATCCAAAAGAACTAATCTTTCCCTTTCCCACCTTTTGAATTCTTGAAACTTTGACATACATACAAGTAGTGAGCATGACTTGCTCATGATGGAGCATTGTCAAAAACGAAATGTTACCGGTTTGATCTTGCGTTTACCGTACTTCTTTTTACTTAGCCCGAGTTGAATAACCAACCAAGAGGCTACAACAGTTTCATCATCATCAATAATCGTTGTCATCATGATCAACAGTCCTGTTTTGCTTCGTCACACTGGTGATGCATTCAAGTGACATTTGTTTTTTCCCCCACTGGTGATACAGTCATTTGTATGAGATTTGCCACATAGGTGGTACAGTATCTTCAAGTTTTTTTTCTCCGCACGCACGTAATGCGTTGGTGATGTGTTCAAGTGTTGCCGTGACACCACGCCGATGATGCGTTTGAGTGTTGTCGTGATGCCAGGCCGATGATGTTTTCGAGGGCGGTTGTTTCAAATATTCGCATCCCCGCCATGCATTTTCTTGTGGAATTGACCTTCTGACCCATTAGTGATTTATAAAAAGCTCCCGCTACTGTTTATGAATAAATGACGGGAGTGTGCGATTCTGTTTGCACAAATGTTAAATTCCCCAAAAGTAATTGAGCGATTTTCTGGTCATCTTGTGTTTTCAGCGACCTCAGTGAAAACGCCATCCAGGCCGTTCCCAGGAGAGCCTTCAGAGGAGCCGCAGACCTCAAAAATCTGTCAGTTGATCAACTAATACAGCCAAGGAAACAAAACAATATTTTGTTTTTTTGTGGAAAGAGCTGCCCCTTGTGGCCTGGAGTGTGAACTGTTCAGTTGAAGGACGCATTGAGGCATTGTGAAAACATTTCGTGTTTGTTCAGTAGTTTGACTTGACTGCATGTTGTGTTGATTAACAGCCAGCTGGACAAGAACCACATCAGCTGCATCGAGGAGGGAGCATTCAGAGCATTGCGATCCCTGGAAGTACTGTGAGTAGGCTCTGCTGCGTTGCGTTCGAGTGACGGGATTTCTTCCCGGCGGCGATGTGTCCCAGTGTCGCTGTCGTCTCCTGTCTGCGTGTTCCTCCAGGACGCTCAACAACAACAACATCAGCAGCATTCCTGTCTCCAGTTTCAACCACATGCCCAAACTTCGCACTTTGTGAGTCCTTCCACAATCACAATTTTTAGAATCATCGTTGTGTTAATACATCCAAAACATATACACCCATTTCAGTCAAATGTGCAGTGTGTATGCAGGGCGCAAGTTCAATCCTTATCTGATTCTGATTTGACCGCGGTCATCGTGACATGTAAAATGTGATTGAATACGTTGATACACTTGACATATCTGTGTCATATCTGGATGAAACTTGACCCACTTAACTGAAACCAAATTTGATCTCGAGCTGATACGGGTTTAACAGTGATGTAAGCACAACATGTAAAAGATTGAATATGATCATACACTTAACGCATCATTGTCAGATGTCACGTTCGGATGAAAGAATGCGCCTAATTGTTGAGTTGAATTAACTTTGATCAGGATCTGATCCAGATTTGGCACCAGTGTAAACACAGCTGTTGTTTAATTAATTGACTGACCTTTTTTTTAGGTCAGTCAATTATATTAATTCAATTCTGTCAAGAGTCCCGTAATATTTACTGTAATCAATTTCATGTCGTTTACATGACTTTTTATGACATCAATTCTCGACGGGCCTGATTTAAAAGAAGAAAGCGTGCGGCCTACAGGCTGAAAGCAGCCTTAGCGGGCGTTTCTTGCCGAGCATTGTCGTCTCCCTCCACAGTCGCCTTCACTCCAACTCTCTGCGTTGCGACTGTCACCTGGCCTGGCTCTCTCCGTGGCTGCGCCAGCGTCCCGCTTTGGGCCTTTACACCCAGTGCAGCGCCCCGCCCGCCCTCAGGGGTCTCAACCTGGCCGAGCTGCGCAGGAGCGACTTGGCCTGCTCAGGTACTTCTTCTTCTGCTCTTCACTGCTCCCTTCCAATAGAACTCAGTCCTGTCCTGTGCACTGGAGGCACGCAACTCTAAAGTTTGTCAAAATCCACGAAACCACGAAAACGTTCATCCGCTGCCGTCTTCTTCTTCGGGCTTTTTGTGTGTGCCCAGGCCACGGCGGCAGTGCCTTTGTGCAGCCGTGCAGCCTGGCGTCCGGCTCATGTCCACCCATGTGCTCATGCAGCAACAACATCGTGGACTGCCGGGGACGAGGCCTCACCGCTATTCCCGCGCACCTCCCCGAGGCCATGACAGAGATGTGAGTAACACATTTCAGTCTCGTCTCTTCTTCAAATTGGGACAACATTTCTCGGAGATTGTCTTTAAAAGACCCGTGAAATAGCCGCTTGATACAAAAATGGCAGACTTTTTGGGGGGGTCGACGCATCATCGACATGATTATTGCAAAGTGGAACTGGCTTTGGGGGCCGAATTTCTTTAAAATTGGTCATAAAAAATGTCCTAAATACCTGTTTGAAAACTAAATCATGGATTTTTTAGGGGTGACTTTTTTGGTGTGTCACCAAATTTCATGTTGTGTGTAAGTAGATCTGGCTTCAGTCCCATCAATTTTAAAATGTGTGTGTGTGTGTGTGTGTGTGTGTGTGTGTGTGTGTGTGTGTGTGTGTGTGTGTGTGTGTTTTCTTCAGTCGTCTGGAGCAGAATGGCATCAAGTCTGTTCCTCCGGGTGCCTTCACCTCCTACAAGAAGCTTCGTCGAATGTGAGTCAGTGCGCCCCCAGGTGGAACAAACTTGTATTAAAAGTGAAAACTCAAAAATGTCAGATAAATTTTTTGATTCCGTGCAGTACTGTACATGAATGGGTGTTTTGTTTTGTTACGGCAACAATTCAGATTAAAAAAAAAAATAATGCTTGCAACTTTATTAGATACTTTCTATTGACTGTCAAGTTTTTAAATCCTTTCTGTTTCTATATTGATCGATGCATTAGTTGCATTTAATTTTTTGGCATCCCAGAGACCTGAGTAACAACCAAATATCGGAGATTGCTCCGGATGCCTTTCACGGACTGAAAGCCCTCAACTCCTTGTGAGTAACCCTCACGTGGCACTCATGTGTCATGTTTCGTTCATCATGTATGCTCACCTGTCATTGTCATGTGTGGCTGGGCGTCAATATTTTTTTTTTTCCCATGATTGTCCATGTTTGCGCATGTGTTGTCATGTGGCGCTATGTGCGCTCCAAGGTTATTATGGTTAACCAAAACTAACGAAAGAATTTTACATTTGAAAAAAACCTGATCAGAAATACAAATGAAAATGCTTTAAAAAAACCAAAACAAAACAAACAAAACCTCAAACTACACGTTGCGTTTGTAAAATTAACTACACCGAACTATACCAATTGCAAAAATGTCCTTTGTTTTCATCTTTGTCAATGAATATCAAACATGAGCTTTCAAGGTTCATTTTAAATGTGTTTATTTCGGTATTGTTGTACCTAAGGAGAAGGAAGGTCAGCTTTCTGAAAATTGCTTTATTATACAATACTTAGCGACCTTTTTGTTTTTTTTTTTTTAACTTGCATGAATACTCCATGTATAAAAATAAATAAATAAAGCCAATACTAAAACTACCAGTAATTTAAAAAATGAAAATAAAATGAAACATTTAAACATTTAAAAAAAAAAAAACTCACTAAAAAAGAAAAAAAAAATCAAAACTAACTGAATTTACCAAACAAAAGTAAATAAATAAATATACAAATATAACTAAAATAAAAAACGACCGATGATAAACAATCCAAACCTATTCTGACCCCGGTGTGGTCATGCCCATTCATTTGGCATTCATATGTCATCTCATCACGTATTTTCATGTGTTGTCATGTCAAGTGTTTTTATTGTGCGCTCACGTGTCATTGTGGATTTCCACGTATGGCCGTCCGTGTTCATGCGTTTGCCGGTTTTTGCCCAGGGTTTTGTACGGCAACAAGATCACGGAGCTCCCCGTCGGCGTGTTTGACGGCCTGGCCTCACTGGAGCTGCTGTAGGTCAACGTACTTCCTTCTTTGGATTTTGCTGGCTAAATGTGTTGACGATCTCGTAGTGTGAGTAGTGGTGGGGATGTAACAAAGTACAAAAACTTTTCGTTACATTTGCGTCGACCTTACAAAAATGGTTCCCAAAACAGAAAGTGAGAATAAATACAAATGACCATCACGTAGCCCAGAGGCTTAAATACAGCGTGATTACTTTTTGCCCACCTTGGGTTGTGAGTTCCTCTGCGATGTGTGGCGCCCTCCTGCAGGTTGCTCAACGCCAACAAGATCCACTGCGTGCGTGCGTCGGCCTTCAAGGATCTGGAGAGCTTGGCGCTGCTGTCACTGTATGACAACAAGATCCAAAGTTTGGCCAAAGGAACCTTCGGCTCGCTGCACGGCATCCAGACACTGTGAGACCACGCGCTTTCTTCGTACAATCGCACCTTGACTGGCGAGGGATCCGACTTCCGCGTTTGCTTACAAGCAGCAGCTTGAAAGATGGCGAATGATTCTTGGGGAAAAAAAAAAAGTGCCTTTTTGAAATTTTACTAGCTTAATGCTAACACACAATGCAGAACGCCATAGACAGGCTAATGAAACTAGCATTGTAGTTGGTGCTACAACCCTTAAAGCAATGTTTATTTTAACACCTCCTAAAAATGACGAGTATTATTGCAGCTTACCAAGCCGCGAAGAGTCTGTCTTCTTTGTGTATTTTGTAAATATTACACTGCCCCCCCCCCAATGGCTAAGGCGACCAAATGAAACTCCGAGATCACATCTCACCTTTGTGTCCCCTCAGCCACCTGGCGCAGAACCCCTTCGTGTGCGATTGCAACGTCAAGTGGCTGGCCGACTTCCTTCGCGCCAACCCCATCGAGACCAGCGGGGCGCGCTGCGCCAGCCCGCGACGCCTCGCCAACAAACGCATCGCCCAGATTAAAAGCAGCAAGTTCCGATGCTCCGGTCAGTCCATCTGTGTTTGTGTGTTTAAAAAAAATGAATGCTCCATTAATGTATTTAGTTTTTTTTTAAGTATAATATTAATATGAGTTATCGATTCCTTGTTGCTGATTATTGTTTAATCATATGCATATTTAGCACTTTTAATTGGATTGGTGTTCTCATTCAATTTTTTTGGCAGTACATTATTTTAGAGTACAGTATATACAGTATTTAAAGTTTTTTCAAATCAAGATGATTATTTTCTATTCTATTGAATTTAGAATAAAATATAGAAAAAATGAGCTTAGTGAATAGTTTTATGTTTTATAGTAGAGTTTTGGAGAAGCATTTTTAATAATTAAAAAATCATTGTATTGGTTCTTATTTTTACCAATTGACTACATTAATATATTTACCTGAATGATCCTTTTGGGTTGCCGCTTTTGGTCATCGCAGCCGACTTGTCGGACGGCAACCAAGTTAAGAGTGACCCAAAAGCGCCTCGGCTGGTCAACACTAAAATCACACACAAAGACTCGATGCTTTGGCATCCCATTTGTTGACTGATTGTTACGGCTATGATGTTTGTTTATTGACCAACTTTTCTTTCTGTTTATATTTTAGCCAAGGAGCAGTACCACATCCCAGGTGCGTAACACCAATATCGTTCATGGTAGCTGTCAATCAAAAGGTAGCCACGCCTCCAACCCACGTGTCCGCTTATCTACGCTATACGTAGGCCTAAAATTGATTCTCAAACTAAAAATATTGATAGTTTTGATACTTCAGTCAGTTGAGCAGCAATTTATTGTTCCAGAAACTCACGAACAGGAACGCAGAGGATACTAATGTAGAATGCAAAATGAAAGTCGGGCTCCCGGGAATGAGCCTGGGCGCTAATGGTGAACCTCTCAACAACTGCGACTTAGCACACACGGAGCGGCGACGCATGCAAACCGAGCGTACAACAATACTTGCAAGCATTTAGTCTCTGCTCCACGAGAACCATTCATTGCAGCTTTAGGGGACCTTCTCTGTCACTTCTTCTTGCTCTTAATTACCCTGCAACTGCTCCAGTTGAGCTCAGTGCTGCCCAGCATGTTGTGGCACAATGTGGTACTACACCGAAAGCCAGCAATTCGAAATTTGCACTTGCTTGTATACCGCAAAAAAAAACGAAAAGAATAGGGGGCACATATGATGAACCACGATCGAGATTTGTGAATGTGTGTGTGTGTGTGTTGCCAGGGGCAGAGGACCGCCGGCTGAGTTCCGGGTGCAACAGCAAGCCGTCGTGTCCGAGCAAGTGTCGCTGCGAGGCCAACGTGGTGGACTGCTCCAACCTGAAACTCACCAAGTTCCCCCAACACCTTCCCCCCACCACTGAGGAACTGTATGACGCACACACGCACAAACACACACGCGCATGCACCATTAACGAAACATGTATACATGTTGACATGTATGTCATGCTGCATGAATGCACAGCCGCTGGACATTTCAACCGCCTACTCCACTCACCATCTTCTTGTTTTTTCTCTTGTGTTTTGGCTTTTGGGCTTCCCTGATGATGATGATGATGATGATTTCGTCGGTGGTCTACGTCGCAGGCGCCTCAACAACAATGACCTCTCCCTGCTGGAGGCCACGAGTGCCTTCAAGGGCCTCTCGCAGCTCAGGAAAATGTAGGTCAAACTGTGGTTACCACATGCACACGTTCACACACGCATGCGCACGCGTGTTTGTCAGAATGCTTGAGTGCTCTAAAGGCTGGCTTCCACAAAAGTAGGAAACATCTTTTTGTGTTCTGGGTCAATTGAAATGTCAACAACAATGACGATAAAATGTCTGACAGCAAAGCGCAACAATTTAGTCCATAACATTAGCATTGAAATAAGATAATAATAATAATATACATGAGACAGATTAGTGGCAGCCCTGCTCACTTTTAAGAATTGAATTGACTGGACAGATAAATCATATGAATCTGGTACTTCAAATATAATACGATGTCAATGAATAAAATCACCCTGGAGTGTGAATAACAACTCAATTTTGCAATAACAGGATTGTTGAAAGAAGACCAAAACATTTTCATACACGTTTTAGCAACCGTGATCATTTCTCTTTGCTAATTGCATGAAATGAATAATTTAAAAACTACAACGGCAACATTACCATTTAAGAGTGAATGTGAGTCAAAGGAAGAAAAAAGAAACAGTCTCTCTTTTTTACTTTTTTTTTCTTTGCTTCTACCCGTTGATCAGAAACCTGAGCAACAACAAAATCTCCGAGATCGAGGACGGCGCGTTCGAGGGTGCCTCCGCCGTGGCCGAGCTGCACCTGACCGCCAACCACCTGCAGGTGGTGCGCGGTGGCATGTTCAGAGGGATGGAATCGCTACGCATGCTGTGAGACACACACACACACACACACACACACACACACACACACACACGGGTACTGAAGCGCTTCTTGAAACGTTTTAATTTGTGCGCAGGATGTTGAGGAACAACAAGATCAGCTGCCTGCACAATGGCAGCTTCACGGGCCTCAGCAACGTTCGTCTGCTGTCGCTCTACGACAACCAGCTGAGCGTCATCCTGCCCGGAACCTTTGACGCGCTTCCCAACCTCTCGACGCTGTCAGTGATGCGCATGCGCACACACAAACACATGGTCAACCCGAATAAACTACCAGAACTTTAAATTGATTTTTTTCAAGGGGGAGTGGGCAGTTCATTGCCTCAGTTTAAATGAGTTATTCTAACTACTACTAAGTCATGGACATCTGCGACAGTCAAATCTTTTTCATGCTATACAAGCAACCGTTTTTCACAACAGCGCAGACCAAATAAATGTAGCTACTTTTAATTACTTTCAGCAGTTTTTGAAAATTCCCCCCTCAACAAGTACTTGGTATAATGGCTGTTCACTTTGGCCTGAATTTAGGAAAATATCTTTTCATTTTTACTGTCTATAATGTGTTGATGTTATATTCACAAGTAAATTTTAAAAAACGGAAAGATAAAGTAATCTCACCATTTGATTTAAATTTTTTTAAAAAAAAAAACGGAATGATAAAGTAATCTCACCATTTGATTTAAATTTTTTTCTCATTGTGTTGGCCCGTCAAGTTCAGTCATGCCTTTTATGCAATCTAGTGTACTGACGTGCACAGTGACATCATCAAATAGCGCTTCTCTGTAATATAAAAGAAATGCCCAATTAGATGTTTGAAAAAAAAATGGTGAGAAACAAAAAAATGAACTGAAAATATCTTTGTATTTAAAAGTTGAAGATAACTGAACGCACAATTTGAACAATTAATTCAGCGACTCTTTTACCAAGCACACGTTGAGAATGACCTTTAGCAGCGTCCGCGTAGTTTGAGCAGGCAGCGGCGGGCCTAACCAAGCCTGTTTTGCGCTCCAAGGAACCTACTGGCCAACCCGTTCAACTGCGACTGCCGTCTGTCCTGGTTGGGCGCCTGGCTGAGGAGCCGGCGCATCGTGACGGGAAACCCTCGCTGCCAAGGCCCCGCTTTCCTCCGTGAGATCCCACTGCAGGACGTGGCGGCGCCCGACTTCCGCTGCGAGGACGGTACGCCCCCAAAAGTGTGGCGGTTCCGACTTACCGGCAGCCTTGGATGCAGCATTTGCATTGCTTTTACTCGCTGTGGAGCCAATGCTCACTCCCCGTGAAAAGTAACGCTTACTTCCTGTGCAGCGAGTGTTGACTTCCTGTGTGGTTTGTCTCAGGCCCTCCAGCAGAGTCCACCGGCTGCTCATTGGGCCCGCAATGTCCCAGCGGTTGCACGTGCATGGACACAGTGGTGCGCTGCAGCAACAAGCATCTGCAGGCACTGCCCAGAGGACTTCCTCCAAACCTCACCGAACTGTGAGCGCCTGACTCGACTCTCGTCCCCTTCAAATTAAAACAGCAATTCATCATCATTTTCCCCTGGCAGATATCTGGACGGGAACCAGTTCACACGAGTCCCCAGCCAGCTCGGCAACTTTAAGAACCTGCAGCTAATGTGAGGAACAACATTCCACTTCCTGTTTTCATCCGCAACCCCCGACTTTCTTTTTTCCTTCCTATGCACTTGACCCAATGATGTATTTCCAGGAGGCATAAAGACTAGGAGGTTTGACTTTTCCAAGACGCCCCAATTTTTTTCCCCCTCTTCTTCTTTCTGTTCACCTCCTCGGCTTCCTGTCTGTCCGTTCTTTTTTTGTGCTTTCACTTCTCCTTCCTATGAAGGAGCCTCCAAGTTAACGTTATTGATCAGAATGTCCAGCAGAGGGAGCTGCAGGCTGCTTCCTTCTGCTGCAACTTTACACCTTGATTGTGTCGAATGTGCAGAGATTTGAGCAACAACAAAATCAGCTCCCTGTCCGATGATTCGTTCGCCAACATGAGCCAACTCACCACCCTGTGAGTGCTCACACACGCACACACAAATACAATGACTGACTCAAATAATGTTACGTCTGTATATCAATTCAAATCAATCCTTTGCATGTGTTGTGGTTCCGTGCAGGATCCTGAGTTATAACTCTTTACGTTGTATCCCTCCTCTGGCACTGGCTGGCTTGGGATCACTGAGGCTCCTGTTAGTACACGCGCGCGCGCACACACACACACATCCGCGTATTCTGGTCCAACTGTATGAGCACGCACAAACCGCACATTCTGTACATACACACGCCGCCACGCAGCGAGTAAGTGTGTAAACCGCTTGCATTTCAGGTCTCTGCACGGCAACGACATCTCTGAGCTGCAGCATGGAATCTTCAACGACGTCATGTCGCTCTCGCACCTGTACGTACCTTAGTGTTCGCAGGCATGTGGTTGTACGTTATGTGTGTATGTGGTTTTTGAGACGCGTTCCCGCCAATCGAAATAATCCACTGAGGCAGAGTAGCGCCGTAGTGACCACGATATCGATCATCAGCGCGCACGTGACGAGTCAAAACGTGCAGCGCGATGACGATCGATAACAGGATTCACCCGCGAGGCCTCCGTCTAGCCTCCGAGAGAATACATGCAAGGAAAGCCAAGGCGGGGAAGTGATGTCGTGAAGGCAAGCATGAGAGGAGCAAGGAAGATGAGAAGGAAGCAAAGTGGGCAAAGTGAGGCGGGTGGAAAAGAAAAAAAATGTGGACAGAAAGATGGAGGGAGGAAAAGGAAAAGTCGGGGCAAGAAGAGAATATGGCAACGGGCGGGGAAGTCGGAGAGGTTGAAGGATGAAAATGGGGGCATACATAGGTAATATGGAAGAAAGGAAGGACAAGACATTAGAGAGGGAAGGAAGGAAGGAAGGTGAGACGGACGGAAGAAAGGAGGGAAGGGCGGGAAAACAAATGGGCAAGTCGACAGCAAGTTGAATGCGCGTCTGGTCGCGGTGTCTCCTTTTGATGACCTCATCGGCCAGCGCCATCGGCGCTAACCCGCTGTACTGCGACTGCCGCCTGCTGTGGCTGTCGGAGTGGCTGAAGAGCGGCTACAAGGAGCCCGGCATCGCGCGCTGCAGCGGACCGCCCGCCATGGAAGGCAAACTCCTGCTCACCACGCCCCCCGAACGCTTCCTCTGCCAGGGTGAGAGAGCGGCGCCGCCTGCTGCGCGCCACGGCAATCGCGCGTCGTTCATTCAATATGCGTAGCGACCAAAAGCGGTCCCGTTTTTGAGCAAAACAAACAAACAAAAATCTAATAGGAGAATGAAGTTTAAATCTGTGGGTGGAGCAGGAGAAAAAGATAGATTTTTTTTATAAGAATAAAATAAAAATACTGTTGAAGTTGTAATTTGTGAGGGGGAAAGAATAGAGAAGAATGGACTACTATGTTAAATTTAGGAGGAAAAAATCTGTGCTATTATGTGAAAAAAATGTGAATTAGGTTGGAATATTGCGGGACGAAAAGATAAAAAAATTTTGACAAAATATGGCAAAAAAGCTGATGAGAAGCAAGGAAGTGAGATAACAAATGAATGCTGTCTAAATTTTGCATGACTAAAGTCATCATTTTGGTACTGAAAATATAAAAAAAAGTCTTATTTTGTGGGACTAAAGTCAATCATTTTGAGAAAAATGCAAAAATATGCAGAGAGGAAAATATATTTATTGCGGAAAGTAGTCATTTTGCCCCCCTCTAAAAAATTTAAACACTACGCAAAAATGTGTGTAATTTCACTACACAAACGATATGATAAAATGTACAAATATTTGGACAAAAAAAATTATGATTGGAGTTAGACCTTCCTACAGCGAATAAAATTAAAATGAGAAAAATTACTTTCATCACACCACAGTCAAATGCTACCAAAATGTCATTTCCAAGCAAAAATACTCCTTGAAGAAAGATGGCATTTTGGAAGAAAAAACAACCAAACACTAAATTATGAGTGTCTCGTGTTTGTTTGTTCAGGTTCAGTTGAGGCCAGCGTGGTGGCCAAGTGCAACCCGTGCGCGTCGTCGCCTTGCCACAATCAAGGCCTGTGCCAGGGGAGCCACTCGCACTCGCAGCCGTACACGTGCACCTGCAATGATGGATTCACGGTAATAATCCCCCTCCCCCCATCACCCATCCTGCCGAACTGCAGAATCAAAACAA